GCAAATTAGCCTTTCCTTGCACAGCTAAGTTTGTGCTTGTCACTTAGCTTTTCTGAACCAAGCAAAATATACTCTAAGGATATATATCACATGGGAGAACTATCAAGAGCAGCACAGGAATGGTCAACCTAAAAGTCTGAGAAATGCAATGAGGGAGAGGGACAGAATTGAGGAGGGGCACTGAGGAGTTTCTAAGGTTCTTGTAATGTTCTGGGTGACGGGTACATAGGGGTTCATTCTATTGGCATCTTTATCCTCTATAGGCATGTTTGTATATTTTTCTACATGTACATTTCACACACACAAAACATAATTTAAGAAAAAATCTTACTGGGATTCTGATTGGGTTTTCATTAATTTATAATCTGGAAGTACTGACACTTTTTAATGTTTTCTCAACAGGAAGAGTATGTTATATTCACTTACATAGCTCTTTTTTTCATATTTTTAGCAGAATTTTAAGTCTTCTTCATATAGATCTTATACATATTTTACATTTGTGGGTATCTTATGAAACTTTTTGCTATTGTGCATGGGCTGCTTTTAATATTACATTCCTTAGTTTATTACTGCTAAGTGAAAGTTACTAATATCTTTTTTTTAAAACCAAGATATTGAGGCACAGATCAAAAGCTACTCTTTTTTTTTTTGGAGACAGAGTCTTACTCTGTCACCCAGGCTGGAGTGCAGTGGTGCAATCTCAGCTCCACCTCCCAGGTTCAAGTGATTCTCCTGCCTCAGCCTCCCAAGTAGCTGGGACCACAGGCCTGCGCCACTGTGCCCAGCTAATTTTTGTATTTTTAGTAGAGACAGGGTTTCGCGAGGTTTATTTTTAGTAGAAACAGGGTTTAGTAGAGACACGTTGGCCAGGCTGGTTTCAAAGTCCTGACCTTATGTGATCCGCCCACCTCACCCTCGGCCTCCCAGAGAGCTGGGATTACAGGCGTGGGCCACTGCGCTTGGCAGAAAACTACTGATTTCTGTATGTTAAACTTGCATCCAGCCGTCTTACTGAACTCTATTAGTTCCAATTGTTTCCAACCGATTTGGATTTTCTAGATAACCAATTCATCTGTATCTATTACTATTATTATTTTTTTTTGAGATGAAGTCTCACTCTGTTGCCCAGGCTGGAGTGCAGTGGTGTGATCTTGGCTCACCACAACCTCCACCTCCCGGGTTAAGGCGATTCTCCCGTCTCAGCCTCCCAAGTAGCTGGGACTATAGGTGTGTGCCACCAAGCTCGGCTAATTTTTGTATTTTTAGTATAGACAGGGTTTCACTATATTGGCCAGGCTGGTCGAACTTCTGACCTCATCATCCGTCTACCTCAGCCTCCCAAAGTGCTGGGATTACAGGCGTGAACCACTGCACCCAGCTTGTAACTATGATATATTCTGAAACCTAGTAAAGCAAATCTCCCATCACTGTCCTTTTTCCCTGGAAATCTACTTTTGCATTTCTTGGACACTTATTTTCCCAATAAATTTTGCCTTTATCGAGTTCTATAAGATCTCCTGATGGAATTATACTAGGTTTTCCATTTGATGTATTGCTCACTATCTTTGAGACTACTGTCATCTTTGCTCGACTATTCCCAACAGGGGAGAGTTTGTAGCTTCATTTGTTCCAAGTATTTCTTTGTTTTTCCTTTAAGATTTTATAATTTTATTGGAATCAATGTCAAGTGTTCCATACCAAGCTAATTTCCAAGCACTATCCTTTATCACTACTGTAAATGAGACTTCTTTAATTATGAATTTTCTGTTTTCTCAGAAATAGAAAATTTTCTTGGATTTATCTCATATTCTGTAATTTTGCTCATATCATTTCTTACTTATAATTTTTTTTAAAAGATTTTCTATGTCCATAATTTGGCCACCTTACAGTGATAACTTACCTCTCTCTTTACTATGTCACTTCTTCATTTATTTTTATATCACTCACTACATGTTTGTCAAAATTAGAGTAAGCAATAAAAGACACTCCTTTTTTGTGTGTGTGAGATAGAGTCTCGCTCTGTCACTCAAGCTAGAGCCAAGTAGCTCACTGAAACCTCAACCTCTCGGGCTCAAGCAGTCCTCCTGCTTCAGCCACCTGAGAAGCTGGGACCACAAGGCACACCATCTGATTTTTTTATAGAGACTAGGTCTCACTATGTTTCCCAGGCTGGTCTTGAACTCCTGAGCTCAAGTGATCCCCCTGCCTTGGGCTCCCAAAGGGTTAGGATTATAGCTATGAGCCAATAAACCTGGACGAAATCCTTAACAAGAATATTCATAAATGCCTACAGATTTCACCCTTGAGATAACATTGGCTCTGGTTCTTGGCTCTTGGTTTTGAAACTAAAATTGGTTGCTTCAAGGAAAGTAAACTAGATGACTGGGGAAAAGACGAAGGAGGATATTTTTCACTATATAGTTTGAACATTTGAAATCCAAAACACTACAAAATCCAACATTTTTGAGTGCCGACACAACACTCAAAGGCAATGCTCATTGTCCATTTTGGATTTTGGACTTTCAGATTTAGAATAAGTATAATGCAAATATCCCCAACTCTGAAAAAGTCCAAAATCCAAAACACTTCTGGTCCCAAGAATTTCAAAGGGATATTCCACCTGTATAATTACAGTGTGCCTCTGAATTCTGAACCACATAAATATATTTATTTCTTCAAAAAGTAAAGTTATATTAATAAATGTGTACTTTTAATCAAAAATGCTTCTTATTCCAGATTAACAGTGTATTTAGAGAATCACTCCTCTGAATTTTTCTTTGTTACACTGACTTCCAACCTGGGATAAATACTATTTGGGCACAATGTATAATTCTATTTAATAGTATGCAGTTTTCCTGCTAAAGAAATAAATTTAGGGCTAGAAAAGAGTATCTAGTATCATTGTAGATTTAAACAAAAACCCAACACACGAAAGAGACAAAAACAAACAAAAACCTTTAAGGCCAATAAAGCCTAGATGATTTATTTAAGGGCACAGTGCTTGTTCATGGGACAGTCAAAAGGAAAAAAAAAGCCAGGACTCACAATCCCTTGGTTCAATAGATTGTTGGCTAAGATTTCTGTTAGTAACTTTGTACCAATACTAATATACAGTATTTGATGAACATCTTCCCTTTTAGAATTAGGTTTTTGGATGATAACCGATTTACTCCATAAAGTATGCTTAAGTAGTAGGATTCCTTGTTCTAGGTTTAAAAAATAACTTAATATAATATACAGATTTTAATGTACTTCAACTTTAAAAAATGTTACTGTGAGCCCATTAGAGAGTCAGTTCTTTTCTTTCTTTCTTTTTTTTTTTTTATTAAAAAAACGACTATTATTTCATCCAATTATTTTAGTACCTTTATATTAATTTCATATGGGCAGTTTTTTGTTTTTGTATTTTTGAGACAGTTTCCTCCATCGCCCAGGCTGGAGTGCAGGTGTGATCTCAGCTCACTGCAACCTCCGCTTCCCAAGTTCAAATGATTCTCGTGCCTCAGCTACCCAAGTAGCCAAGCAGCTGGGGATTATAGGCATGCGCCACCATGCCCAGCTAATTTTTCTATTTTTAGTACAGATGAGGTTTTACCATGTTGACCAAGCTGGTCTCCAACTCCTGGTCTCAAGTGATCCACCCTCCTCTGCTTCCCAAAGTGCTGGGATTACAGGCATGTGCCATGGCGCCAGGCCAGGGTAGTTATTTTTTGTAGTCAGCTATTTCAAATATGTTGGTAATATAACCACATATATATCATCCTTTTAAAACAATGTTTTCCATTTCTGACTTCTATCTTCTTTATGTCAATTAGGCCAACTATTTATTTTTATTGTCTTTTCAAAGATCAGCTGGGTGCACTGGTTCATGGCTGTAATCCCAGCACTTTGGGAGGCCAAAGCAGGAAGACTGCATGAGCTCAGATGTTCGAGACCAGCCTGGACAACATGGTGAGACCTCATCTTTAAAAAATTCAAAAAATTAGCCAGGTGTGGTGATACACACCTGTACGCCCTGCTACTCAGGAGGCTGAGGCAGAAGGATGGGTTGAGCCTGGGAGATGGAGGCGGCAGTCAGCTATGATCGCACCACTACACTCCAGTTTGAGAGCAAGACTTTGTCTTAAAAGACAAATACAAAGATCAAACCTTTTAGTTCCTATTAGTTTTACATTTTACTTATCTGATCTTCCCAAATTCAATGTACACTAAATATTTAATAAATGTCCATTAAACTATAAAATTCAATTTTTTGTGTTAATATAAATCTCTACAGTCCATTTTCTCTAATAACTGTGTCCCAAATTTTTTTTCTCTTTTAAAAAATTTTCTTTATTGTTTATAATATGGAATGCTTTACCAATTTGCATGTCATCCTTGCATAGTGGCAATGCTAATCTTTTCTTCATTGGTCTACTTTTAGTATATATGCTGCTGAAGCAAGCACTTCATCCCAATTTAAAAAATACATTATCACTATATTTCCTTCGTTTTCACATAAACTCATATTATGTGCACATTTCTATGCTACATACAGTTTACAGTACTATAAAGCACAGTCTCACATTTGAATTCTACAACCTAATATCACTTTTCAGATGATAGATTCACGAGTCAAACCCAGATTTTGTGATGCTACATCTTGAGCTTTTTTTTTTGAGACAGGGTCTCACTCTGTCACTCAGGCTAGAGTGCAGTGGCAGATTGTCGGCCACCACACCCAGCTAAAAGTATAAATTTGTAAATGTCATTTGGTTTGATAGCTGAAAAAAAATAATCAATCATGAAAACTAAGGGCAGTGCAAGGGCTAGGTAGAAACCAATGAATATAAAAGTGCTGAGCGTTTCTCAGGAGCTTTCCCAGAGCACCATCTGGTGGACATCTGGCAACTTTTACCAATATCAGTAAGGAGATGGACACAAGGTTCCACAGGCTGGTTACTGAAAAATTCCGTGCAAACTCTCTAAAGCTGCTGCCATCATTAGCTGACTACACATACCTGGATGAGGTCCAAGATTCCAAGTTCACTCTCTGAAGAATCCACACAAAATACAAAGTAGAGGGTAGCATAGTGCCGGTAGATCAGTTTGTAGTCAGAGCCACCAATCAAACTGCGGAAGATAGGAAACGTTTAATACCCATAGCTTAAACACACCAAAAAGAAACCTTTTGTCAAAGAATAAGAAAGGGCCCACTGGAAAGAAGGCCAAATGCTGGAAGCACGCCATTCTTCCCAGGTGAATGGCAACCAAGTTTGACAGAGGTACCTAAAGCCACCTTCTCTCACCTTTTCTCCTGCCTATCCTTCCAGGGCCCCAACATCTACATGAGCAATATCAGAAGCACAATAACTAAACTGTGTCCCAAAGAGAATTGTGTCTCTCCCTGAGCAGATCATACTGAGACCAGTCAAAGTTGCATCAAGTACCACCTGACACTTGAGTGCTGCCAGAAGACGCAACAGTGAAGGTCACTCACAAGAGTGAATACATGGGGAGAAAAATGAAGCTGACAGTTTACCTTCCACCCTCCAAGAAGTTACAAATGTTGTCATCTCGCTTGAGGACTAGATGGAAAGTCTCTCGAACAATCTGCTGTTGAATTTCCTCTGGCTGTGGAATAAAAAGATAAGTGAATCAGTGGGCATGCCTGAAAAACTACATTCCATCCATGGGTATGGACAAGGGAAGAAGTGTTTATAAGCTGGGAGCATCTAAACATTTAGTTTCCAGAAATGAAAAAATGATGAGTAGAGAAAAAGTAAGAGTGAAGCTGTGAAAAATGGATGATAAGGCTCCGATATAGGAATTAAAATAGGGTATATTTACCTAGATATCTAAGTCACTAACTGTTACTGTCCCATAGGTAAGCTGACATTTAAACAAGGAAAGGAAATTGATAAACTCTCATACAAAAAGAATAGGCTGGGCGTGGTGGCTCACGCTTATAATCCCAGCACTTTGGGAGGCCGAGGTGGGCAGATCACGAGGTCAGGAGTTCAAGACCATCCTGGCCAACAGGGTAAAAGCCCATCTTTACTAAAAATACAAAAAATAGCCAGGTGTGTTGGCACGCACCTGTAATCCCAGCTATTCAGGAAGCTAAGGCAGGATAACTGCTTGAACCCAGGAGGTGGACGTTGCAGTGAGCCAAGATGGTGCCACTGCACTCCAGCCTGGGCAACAGAGCAAGACTCTCTCAAAAAAAAGTCAAATAACAACTAGAAGGCCTGATCCTGAAATATTTTGTTTTTCCCTGGAAAACATCCATGACAGGTATATGATAAATCTCAACGGGTCTACCACTTAAAGAAGGTCAAGATGTAATCATGTAAATGTTTTAAAAAGCTGTATTGGCAAACACAGCTGCCATCTTTTTTACTGGTAATGTAGATACTACATATAAGATGCTGTGTTACCAACAAACTATTATTGAAAAAAACAGATTACAGATTAAAAATTCCGAACAATCACAGAGCTACAAATAAAAGGTATTATTATTATTATTTTTTAGACAGAGTCTTGTTCTGCTGCCCAGGCAGTGATGCGATCACAGTTCACTGCAACCTCCACCTCCTGCCTTAGCCTCCCCAGTAGCTGGGATTACTGGCATGTGCCACCATGCCCGGGTAATTTTTGTATTTATAGTATAAATAGGGTTTCACCATATTGGTCAGGCTGGTCTTGAACTCTTCACCTCAAGTGATCCACCTGCCTTGGCCTTCCAAATTGCTGCAATTACAGGCGTGAGCCACCGTGCCTTGCCTTGTTTTTTCACTTACCACCTGCATAAGAAAGCTCAACTCTGATGAAATCACTTTGATAGCTCACCTCTGATTTCTAATTATACATATGAGTTTCAGAAGAGGTATGGTAAAAAAGGATAATGAGAGGGAGAAACCAGCAATTAAGACAGAAAATAATTAAAAGCTCTAAACCATTGCTTCTCAAATCTTAATTTGCAATGAATCAGCTGTGTTGTTAAAATACAGATTGAGATTTAGTAGGTATAGGTTAAGTCCTGAGATGCAAGCCTAGTAAGCACCCAGGCAATACCATTTCTGCTGGTCTGGGGACCACACTTTGAGTAGCAAAGCATTAGAAAACCTTCAAATTGGACTTGCCCCAGGAGTCAGAAAATAAGTTCAAGTAATTGTAATCCCTTTCTTTCTACAGCACAGAATTTAGCTTTGAAATGGTTATTTACTTAAAAGAAACAGAGAGGGGAAAAAAAACAGACAAAACGTCATGTTGGGAAAATTACTTTGACTCACATGGGTATGGAATGGCTCACAGTATTTACTGAATGAATGAAAACTTGCTAATCATTGGTCACTATAAATTTGAGTAAATCAATCACTATTTTCCTCATTTCCATTTAAAGAACACACAAAGCTCACAGATGACAGGATGCTGTAAGGGATTAACTATGTGAAATACAAAACATGCTAAGCATCAGCACTTTTTAAACTGACAAATCTTTTGAACTAAAGCCTTTGATCTGGGGGAAGTGGCAGCAGTGGGCAGGTGGTATGAAATGATGAGGCCACCTAATTTCTAGTTCAGTAAAAAGGTAAACTACCAATTGCTTACATGCCTCAGTGATTTTAATAACCCCTCATATCTTTTTAGTACTCTGTAGTTTTCAACGTACTTTCATTTATGTGCTCATGAGGTCTTATAAAATCCTATGATCTTCAGAGATACACGAATGGTCAATAAGCACATGAAAAGATGCTCAACATCATTAGTCATTATGGAAATTGAAATCAAAGCCACAATAAGCTGGACGAGGTGGCTCACACCTGTAATCCCAGCACTTTGGGAGACCAAGGTGGGCCGCTTACTTGAGGTCAGGAGTTTGAGACCAGCTTGGCCAACACAGCAAAACCCCATCTCTGCTAAGAAAACAAAAATTAACCGGGCATAGCGACCGACACCTGTAATCCTTGGGAGGCTGAGGCAGGAGAATGGCTTGAATCTGGGAGGCAGAGATTGCAGTGAGCCAAGATCACACCGCTGCACTCCAGCCTGGGCAACAGAGTGAGACTCAGTCTCGGGAGCTGGGGGGGATGACCCCACAATGAGATACCACTTTACACCCACTAAAATGTCTTTAATCAAAAAAACAGATTAGTTAATGGCAGAGGTGTGAAGAAACTGAAATCCTTATACACTGCTGACGAAAATGTAAAATGGTGCAGCCACTTGGAAAATAGCTTGCAGTTTCTCAAAACGTTCACTATAGTTACCACATGATCCAGCAATTCTACTCCTGGGTATATAACCAAGAGAAACGAAGACACGGGTCCACATGAAAACTTGCACAGGAATGTTCATAGCAGCATTAGTTATAAGAGCCAAAAAGTAGAAACATCAACTTATAATCAAAATATGGCATATCCATATAACGGAATATTATTCAGCAATAAAAGAACATCAGATACATGCATGGATGAATCTTGAAAACATTATACTTCATGAAAGATGGCAGACAGAAAAAAACACCTATTTTATGATTTCATTTATATGCAATGCCTGGAACAGGCAAATTGAGAGGGAAAGACAGACTCTCTAGAGCGGAGAGCATCAGTAGAGAAATACGGAGAGACTGCTAAGAGATTTCTTTTTGGGGTGATGAAAATGATCTAAAACTGCTTGTGGTGATGGTTGTGCAGCTCTGTGAACACGCAACATTGAATTGTCGCCTTTAAATAAGTAAACTGGGCGGGAGCGTGGTGGTTCATGCCTGTAATCCCAGCACTTTGGGAGGCCAAGGCGGGAGGATAACAAGGTCAAGAGATCGATACCATCCTGGCCAACATGGTGAAACCCAGTCTCTACTAAAAATACAAAAATAAACCGGGCAGGGTGGCGGGTAGTCCCCTCCAGCTACTTGGGAGGCTGAAGTGGAGAATCGCTTGAACCCGGGGCGCGGAGACAAGATTGCATTACTGCACTCCAGCCTGGGCGACAGAGCGAGACTATGTCTCAAGAAATAAAAAAGTCTATGAAGGAGTAAAATTATTTTTTCATTCCTAATTGACAAAAGACGGATTAAAAGTCCGAAAAGGGTTTATTAATTTGTCAATAGATGCTAGAGTACAAAAGGTGGCGCTGAAGCCTGAACATGTTTTTTGACTCTTTCCCCTTTTCAGTTTCACCCGTCCCCCAATTATGTAACATGGTGAAACCCCGCCATGAAGAAATAAAATCTTCAAAGACAGTAGGCAAATACTGATGCTTATGTGTTTGCAAAGGAACATGTCTGGAAAATTCAAATTTACGTAATCAGCATTTATAATTTCTCATTTTTCCACTTTTAAATTGATTCTCTTCAATCCTACAGAGTGAAGGGTATCTAGCCTCTGGAAAGTTCCAGCCAACACCGATGCAAAATAATTCCATAAAAAGAACTTTTCCAGACACTCTGGCTATAACGAAAAACTCTCAGAAACTGAATACTTCATCGCGAAACTCTGGTCAACAACCAAAAAGGTGACAGCATGTGACTTCAATCATTCAAGTGCTCAACAAGGCACACTCCCTACTGTCTCTTCTATCTTGTTCCCAGAGACCCAAGAGAAAATGCCACAAAATGGCACAGAAATGCCGGGATCTAGAAAGGGGTCAGAACGGGGGCAGCAGGGCGGGAGACAGAGGCCCCGCACCGGCATACGCCCAGGCTGTGTTTAAATAAGGCGGGTGCCATGCACCAGGCAGGGGCCCCAGGTGACCAAACAGCGGGGCCCCCGGGTGCCGAGGGGCCAGAGAGCAGGGACGAGGTAGTGGGAGCCCTGAAGGGGGGTGGTGAAGCCGGGCTGCACTCACGAAACGCTGGTAGAAGCGGACTAGCCGCGGCTTCCCATGGTTGTTGAAAACCAGAATCGCCTGAATCATCTTTGCCGGCCACGGTTCACTCAGCACCGGCTACTCCCAGAAAGCGCCTCCTTCCGCCACAACACGGTCACTTCCGGCTGGTGCGTCACTGAGAGCGGCCCTGGGAAACGTGGCCCGGCGCCCAGGAGCCCTGGCACCTAAGAGTCCGGCCTCACGGACGCCCCGGAGCGGGCAGCGGGGTACCCTCGGAGGGCAGGTGCGGGCGCCAAGCGTCGTCACCGCGGCCAACGTCGGTTGGCCGGTCAGTGCCCTGCCAGGATGCGAATCCGGGTCTGTGCCCCTCGCCCAGACCGACCGCTGGCCCCAGAAGCCGAAACTTGACCCACGGCTTGGTTGCCAAAAGGAGACCGCTGGAGCTTCCTTTCTCACCGTCCGCCCCTAAACGTGCCGCCCCCGCCTTCCCTTAGCGCTTGCAGAACGTTCCGCGGCGTGGAAACGCCAGGCTTTCGGCCGGTCAGCGGTTGAGGACCATTTCGTTCCTTTTTCATGTTTCAATATTCAATGCTCAGTGAATCATGTGGCTGTCTCCCCGGGCAGAAGGGCTGTTTCTCCGTGGTAGACGGTGAATGGTGGAATTAAGGATTTTTAGTGCATTTTCATTTAAAAAGTCTCGGCGATCCCTAATCGATGAAGGTCTTATTTTTGTTTGTTATTTTAATAACCTAGTGTGGGTGAAGAGGAGCGCGTGCGAATACTGCAGATGGAGCACCGGATAGAGCTGTACATCGATCCAGAGGACTGTTTGGAAATATGAATCAGAAAGGAGCCTTTAAAATATCTAACGGGCCGGGCGCGGTGGCTCACGCCTGTAATTCCAGCACTTTGGGAAGCGGAGGCGGGCGAATCACTTGAGGTCAGGAGTTCGAGACCAGCCTGGCCAACATGGTGAAACCCCATCTCTACTAAAAATACAAAAATTAGCCGGGCGTGGTGGCGGGCGCTTATAATCCCAGCTACTCGCAGGTTGAGGCAGGAGAATCGCTTGTACCCGGGAGGCATATGTTGCAATGAGCTGAGATCACGCCACTGCACTCCAGCCTGGCAACAGAGGGAGCCTCCATCTCAAAATATGTATATATATTATTATATATATATTATATGTATATATATTATATATATTGTATGTATATATATTATATATACATATATACTAATATATATTATATATAATACATAATATATAATAATATATACTATTAGGCTCATTATTTCCAGCTTTAGAATTTATGATCAAATGATTGTGGATGTGTGAAAAGATTTAGCCTCAGAAACATACATCTTCAGAACACTTAAGAAAGAAAAAGAAAAAAAAAAGAAGAGAATATATATCTCAGTGGTATTATCACAGGGGAAATAGGAAGAAAATTATTACAAAATGAGAAATTGGTTAAGTGCATTGTTCTACATGACTATGAGAAATATTAACTAATAAAAATGCTGGGATAGATTTATGATGCAGAAGTGTTCATGACATCCGTTAAGCAAAAAGATTACACAACGTATGTACAGGGACAACCGACTTTGCACAAGTTTGGAGGTAAATATGCCAACATAGGAATAATGTATCTCATGGGCTGGCAGAGTCAGGGTGTTTGATCTGTACAGTCCCCTGGAACCCACCTGCCCTGATTCAAAGCCTGGTTCTGTGGACTCCGTGGGCTCCCTGGGCAAGGTGGACTGCCTCGACACCCTGTGCAAGGTTCTCATCTGTAGAAAAGGTGTCATATCAGTTTCCTAAACCGTAAAACTGGAAAATGAGCCTACCAACTGCAGACAGCTGTTATGCGCACAAAAGGAGTTATTATAACATTCGTGAGCACTTGGAACAGTGCCTGGCACTGTTGAGTTCCACATAAGTGATTTCAAAGCATCTTTGGGTGGCAGCATGATCAAGTTCTCCTTTTCGTCCTTCAAATAAATATGTACTACTTTTGCAGCCAGAGTTTTGGGGTTTGCTTGTTTTTCAGAGATAGTATATTATCCAGGTTGGAGCGCAGTGGCACACTCACACCTCGCTGTTACCTTAAACTGCTGGCCTCAGGCTCTCCTCCAGCCTCAGCTTCCCAAACCACCACCATGCCCGGCCCAGTTTTTTTCTTTTTTCTTTTCTTTTTTTTTTTTTTTGAGATGGAATCTCGCTCTGTCACCCAGGCTGGAGTGCAGTGGCACGATCTTGGCTCACTGCAACCTCCATCTCCCAGGTTCAAATGATTCTCCTGCTTCAGCCTCCCCAGTAGCTGGGATTACAGGTGCATGCCACCGTGCTTGGACAATTTTTGTATTTTTAGTAGAGATGGGTTTCACCACGTTGGCCAGGGTGCCATTGAACACCTGACCTCAAATGATGCACCTGTCTCAGCCTCTCAAAGTGCTGGGATTACAGGCCGTGAGCCACTGGGCCTGACATGGCCCAGTTTTTTAATAAATAAAAACCCAAAGTCAATTGCACTGAAACTTGACAAAATGTTTAAAATGTTGAGGAAGAATATCAAAGAAAATTGTGAAACAGAATTATGAAGAAGAACTAGCTCTGTCAACTATTAAAATGGTACTATAAAATGTAATTATAGGAAGACTAACTGAAATAGATAATTTAGGCATAAAATAATTTTAATATGTGATGTAGGAGTGATAAGGAATTCAGTAAATACTATTAGGATAACTGGTTAGCAATTTGAAAATAAGTAATTAAGTATAAAACCAGATCATCTAAATAGAAGAAAACGAAATTGAATAATATCCAAAAATACGTATTAGCTTAGAAGCAATAAAAATCACAAAACATCAACAGATAAGTAAAGATTTTATTTTTTTTTTTTTGTAAAAAGAATTAACCAGGCCGGGCGCGGTGGCTCACGCCTGTAATCCCAGCACTTTGGGAGGCTGAGACAGGTGGATCACGAGGTCAAGAGATAGAGACCATCCTGGCCAACAGGGTGAAACCCTGTCTCTATTTAAAAAAAAAAGAAAGAAAAATATAATAATTCTTTAAAAAAAAGAATTAACCAAAAAATTGTTAAAATTTGGCAAATGGTTATGTTTAAAATATAAGTAACTCTGATAAACTAAAAAGATGTCACCCCCCCATCTCCCCAGTAGATAATGGATGAAAGAACTGAATAACAAAAGGAGAAATACAGTAGGAAAAGGAAAAAATGTTTAATGCTCACTATAAGTTGGGGGAAAGGCAAATTAAAATATATTAAAATATTATTTTCACCTTATCAAATACCATTTTAAAAATGTTTTCATACCCAGTTCTGGCAAGGGCAGCATGAAAATGGTTCTCTCCTGCATTGCTGGTGAAATTATGGTTTAGAACAATCCTTTTGGGAAGCAATTTGGCAATATAACAACTTTACAAAAGATTTCTATATTCTCAATAGTATGACTCCTGGGAATCTGTTCCTAAAGAAATAACCCCAAAATATAGCTGGAGGTGGGGAATTCAGGGAACTATATAATTTTCAACATTGTTTGAAACATGAATTTTGTTGGCCACACAGGGATCAATTTAAATGTCTAAAAGTTAGACCATGAGGGACTATCCCATGGCAGCAATCTTGGAAATAATTGTTACAAAGCCTCTGCAGCAATATGGAAAGTCATTATGTAACATTAATCGAAAAAGTCATATCTAATATTATGTGTGGGCATAGTGTTATAACAACTACGTACAAGCACGACAGGTTTTTTAGAATTTGTCTGGCAGGTTTTCCCATTTGTACCAGAAACCCCCTATGCAGGTTTACGAAAACCAAAACTATATACAGAAATTACATGTTAAAAAACCCAAACACTAAAAATTACAATCATGACTGAGTGAAATTATGAGTCTTTTTTTTCCTTTTAAATATATTTCCTAAGTGCATTGCTATTTATGGAGATGAGTTAAGTCCCGCAAAAATTTTCTCATTGGCTGGGCGCGGTGGCTCATGCCTATAATCTCAGCACTTTGGGAGGCCAATGGAGGGGGGCAGATCACCTGAGGTCAGGAGTTCAAGACCAACCTAGGCAACATGGCAAAACCCCATCTCTACTAAAAATACAAAATTAGCTGGGCGTGGTGGCACATGCCTGTAATCCCAGCTACCTGGGAGGCTGAGGCAGGAGAATCTCTTGCACCCAGGAGGTGGAGGTTGCAGTGAGCCGAGATTGAGCCATTGTGCTCCAGCCTGGGCGACAAGAGTGAAACTCCGTCTCAAAAAAAATTTTTTTTTTCTCCATATGAATGGAAGCTCAGAGGATTTGCTTGTTTCTGTTTGAATATATAAAATAACTGTCAATTTCCATCTTTAGGCCCACGGTGAAAGGCAAGCTGGACATTGGTGGAAGAAAAGAAATTCAGATGGATAGAGGAAAGGGACCTCCCAACAAGAAGAGCCCAGGCCAGACAGTGGAAATGGGGGAGTGGCCTGCTCTGGGAGCAGCCAGCCCTCCATGGGACCCACACAGCACTTCCCAAACTGTTTCTCGGGACAGCTGTCCCATGAAATGCTCCTCACAAAAACGTGTTCTATGACCAAAGAAACGTGGGCAATACATAATCACACCCTGCCTTGAAGAGTCACGATAAACATTAGTATGTTCAAAGCTCTGAGAAATCCTACAGAAATGTTTGAAACATTACGTTTGTTCCAACTAATCAGATCATAGGAACACCACCACTTTTTGTTGCTAGCCCTGTTAACCTGTGGAAGATCCCTCGGGCTGGTCTGCAGGGATTGTCCCAGAGCTCATAAGGAGGAAGTGAGCAGAGAAAGGATGGCAGTGAAGATGTGATGAGCCCTGAGTTGTGTTAAGGAATTTGAACTTTTCATCTGGGGAGTAATAGGATCCAGTCTAGCTCCAGAAAGCCACACGGGGGCCCCTGGAAGCTGGGTTTCAGCCCTGCCTTATTTCCTTAGCTCCCCACAGGTGTATCTGTTGGTTTTGCCCCCGAATGCCCCTCAAACCATTAACTTCTGTCCATTTCCCCTGCCACTGCTGTAAAGCAAACCCCTCCAGCCTCGCACCCAGGCAACGGCAGCCGCCTCCTAAAGCAGCTCCTGGCCTCCAGTCGCTCTGCAGTCAAGCGATCTTTGAAACACAGATCAGATCTTATCACTCTCCATGGGATCCCTGGCTTCCGGGATAGTCCTCAGTTCCTTACCACACCTAAGGAGGCCATGCCCACTCTCCAGCCTCATCTCACACATAAGCCCCCATTCACTGAGCTCCAGCCGTGAGTTGCCTTTCCTTCCTGAAGCCCCTGCAGGATGCCCCACCCTTTCTGTCGCTTTAGGACCTCTGCTATTGACACATTGGGCCTCCTTGTTTGGAATGGTGCCCTGGCCATTTATTTGCCATACCCTTTGGCCACAGTGCTTTAGACAGCAGGATGTCCCCACTGGGTGACTCAACCCCCGGTCAGTGTCCCCAGCAATCCTTCTGCTCAGCCACCTCCCTGGCCACCCCCATGGATGAGGCTCCAGCATGGCCTGCCTGAGAGAAAGTCCCATTCAGACACAGAACACGAGTGAAGCAGCTACCACATCCTCTGGCCCCTGTATCCAAGACCTTTCTGAAGGGCAAGGAAGCAGGGGACGGCGGAAGGAACATAGGGTTTGCTTTTGACAGCTGTGGGTTTGAATCTCGATTCTGCTACTCATTAGCTGTGTGACTCTGGGCAGGTTGCGTAACCTCTCTGAGACCCTTTTCCTGCTCTGTAATATAAATAGTTCAGTAGTTGAGAATGTGGGCTTTGACATCTGGGTGCTTGGGTGTCAATTCCTCTTGCCACTGTATACTATCCTAGAGCTCTGAGCTTTAGTCTCATGAAAAATGGGGCTAATAATCAGTATCTCATGGACTGTTGTGACAAGTAAGATCTCCCAAGTGCTGAGCACAAGTATGAGTCATTATTATCATGGAAATCATTTGGCATTGTGTTTTGACACATTCAAGGGACTCCATAATTATGAGTTCACCACCACCCTCTCTTTTCCCAAGTCAAGCAGGATCCACCAAGTCCTGATGATATGGAGACTTCAGCTCCAGGCATCACAGACCTGGGTGTGGGTCCCAGCATACAGGCAGTGCTCATGACCCAGGAGAAATGGCTTCCTTCTCGCAGGAACATGGCTCAGTTGAAAGGACGTTTACACTTGGCAATAACCCAGTCAGGGTGGAGGAGTTCCTTTCTGAAGATTTACTCATTCATAAAAAGTTCTCCAGATACAAAACAACAGCAAAGGTATTCTCGTAACTGCAGCCTGGCAGAGTGAGTCTGAGCGATGTGGACCAGCCAGCCACACCTGGAAACGCTGTTGGCCTCTCTGGAATGGCATTTACCAGGAAGGCAGCCAGGGGTATCAGATGACAGGAACCCCCAAGGGGCATGGGATCAGTGGGGGAATAAGAAATGGCCACTTGCGGGGTAAGGGTACAGGGGACCTGAAGGCTTGAGGCGGGAGAGTAGAGTCTCCAATACAGAGTGCTGAGGATAGGGCGGTGGGGAAGGAAAGCAGGAAACAATGAGAAAAGAGGAAGTGCCCCGCTAACTTCTCTTAGCCACTCTGCATTTAGACAAGGGGTATTCCCCATGCTTCACTGAGACCAGGCCCAGTTCCTCTCAGGCTACCCTGGGCTCTCTCCCACCACCTGCCTTCAAAAATAAGGCTGCCATCAGGGCCAGGGTGGTGATGAGGCCAGGGGCAGTGGCTCACGCCTGTAATCCCAACACCTTGGGGGGCCGATGTGGGTGGATTGCTTGAGTCCAGGAGTTTGAGGAGAACCTGGGCAACACAGGGAGAACTCCATCTCTAATTTCTCTTTTTGAGACAGAGTCTTACTCTGTTGCCACGCTGGAGCGCTGGAGTGCAGTGGCACAATCTCAGCTCACTGCAGCCTCCGCCTCCCAGGTTCAAGAGATTCTCCTGCCTCAGCCTCCCGAGTAGCTGGGACTACAGGTATGCATCACCACGCCTAGCTAATTTTTGTATTTTTTAATAGAGACGGGGTTTCACCATGTTGGCCAGGATGGTCTCGATCTCTTGACCTCGTGATCCGCCCGCCTCAGCCTCCCAAAGTCTAATTTTTTTTTTAAAGGGTCCTCATGTAATGTCTGGGAAGGCTAGACTCACATGCAGGGAGGGGCCGTCCATGAGCCACAGCATGGGGCTCCATCACCAACACAGTGGTCATGGGTTTGGTTCTAGCAGAGCTTGTTCAAAGAGTATTCCAAGGTGGCTGTGCGGAAGAACCAGGTAAGACTTGGCAGACTGTCCTCTCCAGCTCCAGAGTAGAAGTTCATGGAAGAGATTCTCAACAATGCTACCAAAGGTGCTGGTGGCCCTGGAGGCATTTATGTCCCACTCACCTCAGTCATCCTAGAGAAATCCCAGGGGAAAAGTAAAGAGATGTGGAGAGAGCACGTCGTAAGTGTCGCTGCAAGTTATCAGACAAACAAGGGTTCAATTGCGTGGTCCCTTTGGGGCCCGTGAGTGCCTGCCTGGGCCTCGCCTCAGTACAGCTGGCCCCACAGCTGTAACTGTTTTTCCGTCCAAGACTCACTTTATGAAGACAAAAAGGAATCCAGACACTCTCAACTGCCTGCCCTTGCTTTCTCTGGCAAAAGACATCTTCTCCATCACCTAGCTAAATAGCCCATTTTTCTGTGACTTCTCTGCTTTAGATGTTCATTTTGGGGCCTTTTGACATCAATTCAAATCTTTGGGTAAAATATACTTCAGAAAAACAACTGTGAACCTGGGCAACATGGCAAGACCTCGTCTCTACAAAAAATAAAAAAATTAGCCAGGTGCGATGGCGCATGCCTACAGTCCCAGCTACTTGGGAGGCTGAGGTGGGAGGATCACTTGAGCCCAGAGTTCGAGGCTGCACTGAGCCATGATCGTGCCACTGCTCCAGCCTGGGTGACAAAATAAGATTCCATCTCCAAAAAAAAAAAAGAAAAGAAATGAAAAGAAAAGCAATTGTGAATAGGCTGAGTATCAAAAAGGGGACTGACTCAGCAAAAGAACATCCAGTATGGACCACGTCAGCCATTCTCCAGACGCTTCAGGCCGGGAACCCAAATCAAAGGAGGAAAGCTACACATTCAGCTGCTCAACTGCCTCAACGTGGCCAATGCGTTCACCTGAAGTGGAAATGTTTCGAGACTCAGTGAGACTCCTCTGCACCCCTCCTTCCTACCACTCGGGAATCTCAGGGGCGTCACACAGTTAGTTCAGAGCCGACTTTGAGAAAGGCCCCAGGATGTCATTCCTCACACCTTAAAGGAATTCTCCTGGTGCTAACATACTCCCAGGAGTTTCGCAGAATTCCACTAAAGCCGGGGGCTAAGATTCATCCTGTGGCCTCTTCATCCTCCCCGCAAACTCAGCCAGTATGTGCTACCCTCCTGCAAGAGACTCAACCTCCCCCACTCCAGGAGCACCTCCATGCTGACTCACCCACTCCTCGTCCTCTGCCCCATCCCCCTGCTCTCGGGTCTCCGCCGCAGCCCCCTCCGAACACTTCTGGGCCATGATGTTGTCTGTCCAGGATGCCCCTGTCTTTCTGTCGCCAGCAAAATTACACTTGGTCACGGTCCCAGCCTCAAGTTTGGCCAAAGACTCTGAAAGAAGAGATGAAGTTGAATGTCCTTTGTCCCTGTGGGGGAAACATAGTGAGGGCTGGGCCCCTTCTGGTGGGTCCCCTAGGCCTGGGTTAAACCACTGTTTCCTCCAGGCCTAGGTGTGGCCAGTGAGGCCCTAGGGGACCCAGTGGGACCCCCAAGGTATGGTGGGGAGACGTCACTCACAGGAATTGTGGGATTGGGTGGCACCCCAGGACCCAGGCTGTTGGGCCTAATGGCCCCAGGGCACTTCTGCAGGGATTTAGGAGTCAATTTCAAGGGCTGGGTCATGTCCCCATGGAGGCCAGCCCTGCCTGTCCCATGAGCTCTGGGCACAAGGAGGCCGAGAGCCCTCATGAGCCACTCAGGAACGGCAGGCCAGAGTGAGGGTTGCACTGCTCACCCAGGAAGGGACCGTCACCCCGCGTCTTCAGCCGCACTTCCGTCCCCAGCTCGAGCTCAATTGCCTCCATCTCCGACTCAGGCATCCAGAACGCCACCGTGTGGTCAGGGGTGAGGCGCTCCGTCAGCGCCAGCAGCTCTGGCTTGTTGACCAGCTGCTTCAGCGCCTCGGGCGTGAGCCTGTCAGTGTCCCCCTTGGCTTCTACCTCTGCAGGGACAGAACGCGGGAGGGTCATTATCACCGTGGTAGGAAGCACTTCCGCAGCACCCCTCAGGAGCCAGGCGAGAGCTGAGTGTTTCCAGGATCAGTCACCCGGAGGCTGGGACTCGGTGCCCGTTCTGCGAGTCCTCATCCAGGAACTCCACAGCAGAGGCGGACAGGCGTGGGCTGGGCCAGGCAGCCTGGCCAATAACTTGGGCAAGTTACATCACCTCTCTGTACCCGAAAACAGGATAAAATCGGTCCCTACCTGACAGGACCAACATGACGTATAGAGGAGATAAAGCACATGGCACAGCACCTGGCATGTGGAACCCTCAGTGGGCATTCACATGTTTTCACTATTCCCATCTTACAGATGAGAAAACCAGGGCTTAGAGAGGTTCAGTCATTAGCTCAAGGTCACACGGTGGTATAGGAGGCAGGATTCAAAGCACCCCAACACAATTCCACCTTCTCACTGAGACCCCAGTGGCCAGGCAGGGTTCTCTCCAGGCGCTCGGGGTCTCCCTGGCTGGGGTGGGGTCTGCTGGAAGCAGGAGTAAACTCTGGTAGTCCCCCTCCTCTCTGCTGGCCCTGGCAGAGTTCATGGGCTGAGGAAGGAGTCCTAAATCCAGGTGCTGGATTAGGGAAGGGGCACCCCTGGACTGTGAAGTGGGCCCAGCCTCACAGGGCTGGGTGTTCACAAGGCCACACCCCAGCACAGCAACCCCGGGGTCATCCCACAGGCTGACCGCGCCACGCCAAGCCCATCTGGCCACATCTCACTGGAGAACATCCTAGCCAACCCATGAACACGTTTCACAGAGCACATTCCATTCATGGTGTACAACCTCAGCCCACCTCTGCCAGGGATGTCTTCTGGGACTGCACAGATGGCTGCCCCCACCAGCTCCGCTCCATTCTCCTCGGTCGTCCACCCCGACACCCCTAGACAAAGCATCTCACCTTCTTTGCAAGATAACAGAAGCCATCAAGTGGGGCCCTCACTTCCCTGACACCACCTACCTGTCAACTCATTTTTTTCCTTTTTTTTTTTTTGACAGAGTCTTGCTCTGTTGCCAGGCTGGAGTGCCGTGGTGCGATCTTGGCTCATTGCAACCTCCGCCTCCTGGGTTTGAGCGATTCTCCTGTCTCAGCCTTCCAAGTAGCCAGGATTACAGGTGCACACCACCACGCCCAGCTAATTTTTATATTTTTAGTAGAGATGGGGTTTCACCATGTTGGACAGGCTGGTCTTGAACTCATGACCTCAAGTGATCCACCCGCCTCTGCCTCCCAAAGTGCTTCGGTTACAGGCGTGAGTCACCACGCCCAGCTGTCAACTTACTTCTGACCACACAAAACATCTCCTCCTTCTGTCTCAAAGAATAGAGGCCTCTCCTCCTGTCTCAAGCCAGCTCTCCTGCCTGGGCTGCAGACCCCCTCTCCTCCTGAGGACCTGTCTCTCCCTCCCCACTCCTCGACCCTTCCTCAAGGCCTTCCTGCGTTCTGGCTTTGACACCTGCTACTCCAGACCCTGTCTACCCCACCAGAGTCACTGGTGAGCTCTTTCCCTGCAAACCTCTTAGATGCTCCATATCTCAGACCTGACTAACTCTTGGGCAGTGCCTGACCCCATGCTAGCTCCGCACACCTGTTCCCTTTGGCTTTGCCAGAGTTATGACACCTTCCCCATCCCTCGGATCTTTCAGTGACTCCATCTCCTGCTCTTCCTTCTTTCTCCACCTCCTATGGCTGCAGTTTCCCACGACAGCCTGCTGGGCCCATTGCTTTTCTCCTCCTGGGTCACCTGGTCCACTTCCATAGCTTCAACACTCCCAAAGTGCTGCAGCCTAGTTCTCTCCCCAAGTTCTAGAACTGTCCACTGAGTCCTCAGAGGCCCTCTACCCAGCAGTGCTCCGGCAACTCAAACTCAGTGTGTTCCAGACAGACCTCCTCCCGGCAAACTTCTCGCTCCTCCATTCCCCTGAGCCTGGCACCCACGCCCAAGCCCTGGTATCATCACAGCTCCTTTCTCCTCTCCCTCCCTCAGTAGCTAAGCCAACACGGAGGCCACTGAGCCGCCTCTAGCTTGAGCTGCTCCAGGCTCTGCACCCCCATGGACGGGTCCTTAATCCCGGCCTTCTTTTTTTTTTTTTTTCTTGAGACAGAGTTTCTCTCCGTTGCCTAGGCTGGAGTGCAGTGGCACGATCTTGGCTCACTGCAACTTGCCTCTCGAATTCAAGTGATTCTTCTTCCCCAGGCTCCTGAATAGCTGGGACCACAGGCATGCACCAGCATGCCCGGCTAATTTTTTGTATTTTTACTAGAGATGGGGTTTCACCATGTTGGCCAGGCTGGTCTTGAACTCCTGACCTCATGATCTACCCACCTCGGCCTCCCAAAGTGTTAGGATTACAAGTGTGAGCCACGGCGCCCGGCCAATCCCAGCCTTCTTATCTCCGTCCTATGTGACCATCACAGCTTCTCCACAGGCCCCACTGGGCTCCGGGCTGTTTACCTCCCTGGGGATTTTCTTTTCTTTTTTTTTTGAGACTGAGTTTCGCTCTTGTTACCCAGGCTGGAGTGCAATGGCGCGATCTCGGCTCACCACAACCTCCGCCACCTGGGTTCAGGCAATTCTCTTGCCTCAGCCTCCTGAGTAGCTGGGACTACAGGCGTGCGCCACCATGCCCAGCTAATTTTTGTATTTTTAGTAGAGACGGGGTTTCACCATGTTGACCAGGATGGTCTCGATCTCTTGACCTTGCGATCCACCCGCCTCGGCCTCCCAAAGTGCTGGGATTACAAGCGTGAGCCACCGCGCCCGGCCTTCTCCCTGGGGATTTTCAAACACAGACCTGATCACATCACCTGCCTACTTGAAACTGCACACTACAGGGCTCCGCTGCACCCTTGGTGAGAGCTGCACTCCTCAGAGCCGCCCCTCCTGCTGCCCGCCCTGCATGGCTTCTCATACCTGGGTCAGGAATCCTGAAACTTCCAGGCCTTGGGCACCCACTGCCTCTGAAATGCCCTGCAAATGCCTGGCACAAGGCTGGCCTCTGCTTATCTTTTAGGACTCAGTACTGGCATTCCCCACTCCAAGGCATCCCCATCCCTGCCTTCCTGGGCTCAGCACCCTTCCCAGAACCCAGCCCAGGCCTGTCCTTCTCCTCTAAGAACATCTCAGGTATACAACCGGGTCTTGGTCATCCCTGGACCGCTCTGCATGTGGCACAAGGGCTGGCACATGATATAGATGCCTCATCCCACAACACACATGCCTAAAATTTTAAAAAAAGAAAAAAAATTCATGGCTGGGTGCGGTGGCTCATGTCTGTAATTCCAGCACTTTGGGAGGCCAAGGCGGGTGGATCACTTGAGGTCAGGAGTTCAAGACCAGCCTGGCCAACATGGTGAAACCCTGTCTCTACTAAAACTACAAAAATTAGCCAGGTGTGGTGGCTGATGCCTGTAATCCCAGCTGCTCAGAAGGGTAAGGCACGAGAATAGCTTGAATCCAGGAGGTGAAGATTGCAGTGAGCTGAGATTGTACCACTGCACTCCAGCCTGGGCGACAGAACGTGACTCTGCCTCAAAAAAAAAGGAAAAAGAAAAAAATCATTTGTTGAAATGTCATCACTCATGTGAAGGTAGACCTTCAGGAGGTGATAAGTCATGGCATGTGAGTGGGATGAGCGCCTTCGCAGAAGAGGCTGAGGAGAGCGCTGCCTCGCCTTCTGCCATTTGAGGACTCAGCACAAAGGCACTGTGTTCGAAGCACAAAGCCAGCCCTCACCAGACGCCCGATCTGCGGGACCCTGACTCTGGTTTCCCTACCTCCAGAACTGTAAGCAAGACGTTTTTGTTGTCAAGCAGGCGTGGTGGCACACACCTACAGTCCCAGCTATTCTGGAGGCTGGGGCAGGAGGATCACTTGAAGACTGTAGTGTCCTATGATTGAACCTGAGAACAGCCATGACTCTCCAGCCTGGGCTACACAGCAAAACCCAGCCACTAAAAATGCACAGATAAATCAAAATTTTAAAAGTTAAAACACATTTCTGTTGTTTATACATCACCCGGCCTAAGGTATTTTGTTGTACAGCACGCATGGCCTAAGACAGAACCCCAGAACCAAATGAGGATTCAGGTAGGAAAACGGAGACCACTGAGGCCTGGCCTGGGCTCTGCACAAAAGCAGGTGGAACCCAAAGCCAGGTTTGTGGGGGTTCTGTCAGACACAGGAAATGCCACGGGGTGGGAAGGCCAGCCTGGGCCCTGGGACTGAGGGGAGGGAACAGGGATCCTCAGAGTGAATGGGAGGCTGGAAGAGGCGCAGCCCCAGGGGTGGGTGGGGAAGCCTCAGGCCAGACACTTGGGCTTCCAAGCACACTGTGAAGACACTTTCCAGGGACCAGGAGGCTGAGGAGACTGCCACGTTTCGGGAGGGCCCTGAGGGAGGGAGGGAGGACAGGGGATACCTACTGTAGGAAGACATAAGGAAGCCCGTGTTCACTTTCCTGGTGGCGCTGAAGTTGGGCTCGATTTCATTTCCCTTGGCGTCGAATTGACGGCGATGGATGTGACTGGGCCGGATATACAGTACGTAGCAGCGCTCCTGGAGCCAGGCAGAGAGTGGGAGGCGGCCTCACCCACAGCACACACGCTGGGCTCTGGCTACAACCCCACTGACCTCACATCTACCCTGGATGCTGTCCTCAGTTCCCAAAGATATTCAAGCTGGGCAGATGCCCCCACCCAAATATTTATTCATTCATGCGTTCACAGGAGCACCTGCCACGCAGAATGAGCTGTGCTGGAAGTTCCTAACTGGGCAAGCCAGGGCTTCCACACGGCCAAAGACAAAAACTATATACAGAAAACCACAACTCAGCCGGGCACGGTGGCTCATGCATGTAATCCCAGCACTTTGGGGGACCAAGGTGGGTGGGTCGCTTGAGGTAAGGAGTTCGAGAACAACCTGGCCAACATGGTGAAACCCTGTCTCTATCAAAAATATAAAAAATTAGCTGGGGATGGTGGTGTATGCCCGTAATCCCAGCTGCTTGGGAGGTCGAGGCAGGAGAATCGCTTGAACCTGGGATGTGGAGGTTGTAGTAAGCCGAGATTGCACCACTGCACTCCAGCCTGGGTGACAGAGCCAGACTGTATCTCAAACAAGACAAAAACCATAACCCAAGCCAGAGGACCCCAAATACCATGAAGCAGGAATAGGCACTGCTGAGGTGGGCACTGAGAAGGAGCCCTGGGTGAGGGTAGCCACTCTGCGCCTTCCAACAGATGCAGTGCCTGGGACAAACCACTCAGTTTCCCCACCACATGGAGGTAACATGATATCTGTGGTTAAAAATATTATGAGGGTTTGGCCAGGCGCGACACCGGTGGCCCACACCTGTAATCCCAGCACTTTGGGAGGCCAAGGTGGGTGGATCATGATATCAGGAGATTGAGACCACCCTGGCCAACATGGTGAAACCTGGTCTCTACTAAAAATACAACAGATTAGCTGGGTGTGGCAGCACGTGCCTGTAATCCCAGCTACTTGGTTGG